AAGCTGGCGATTGATGCTGCATTTAAATTTTGGAAGATTGTGGGTGGTATGGAATCTTGAAATTGGGAGTTCCACAATGCGAGAAGTGAGAGAAAAGAAACTATTAGAATAGAACTTAGTTACATCTTGCTAATTCAACAGTAAAACTGTGATCCCTATTTTTCTAGTCCTGTAGCACGCTTAAAAACATGCAGCCGAAACACTAAGGAAAACAGCCCATAAGAATAATTGTCTTAAAATATTTGTAGAAAGAGAAAGAGAAGCCACGTCATACTAGTGAGAAAGTGACTGAAGTCAAGATCCCAAGTCAGGATCGATTTCATTGCAGATGATTCGTTAAATTTTGTCAAGAATCTCGAGATATATAGTAGAAGAAGCAGACCAGAAATGTGTAAGAAAGATTTTGACGAGAATAATTGTTTGGCACCACACTGTGAATCAAGAAAATGATTCAATATAATCCTTCCACTTTATTGGAAAATATGAGACAAAGAAGGCACAAAGTGTTGCTTCCCTGGAGTTTAGCATCAGCCATGTTAATGGCAGGCAGAAAAAGGTTCTTTGTGGTGATTAAATCAGTTTGGTTTTGGAAGCGTTAAAATTTACAAGCCATTCCTAGTCCCTGTTAAGCACTGCTTGTACGTTCTTTACGAGAGCAGCTGTCATCTGTTGGACATGCTACTGAGACAGGGATAAATAGTTGTGACCCCGACAAATAGTTGTAGCATCTGTAACATCGTCGATGGAAGATCAGAAACGATATATAAATATTAATTTTAAATGAACTAGAAGCGACCTTCCTTACACTATTTATTAGGAAAGATTGAATTAGGCCAAATATTCGTCCAGAGACACCGTAGCCCTTGAGTTTGTGGGAAAAGCCAGTATGCCAAGCTCCGTCGAACGGCTTTGAAAGAGTTAAGAGACTAATAAGGGGATAATTCGGGGTGCCCGGTAGTTCGCCAGAGTTCTTAAAGACAGGAGCTGCGGAGAATAACTTCCAACAAGTTTGCAAACAAGAAGGCATTTATTGTAAATTTTGGAGAGAACATGAGCCAGCTCATGAGAACATTGCAGGGATACCGTCGAACCCGTAAGACTTGTAGGAACCTAGTTTAGAAATGATAGCAGGTATCATGGGCAGTGTTATGTGAATATCACTAAAAGAGATTCTGTTCTAGTGGGGGAATCAGGCAGAGATGAGTCGAGAGTCGAGTTGATTAAAAATATTGATCCAAGGAGCATCGAAAAAGAATTTCACCTTTTATTAAAATAAAAAAAAATATGGATAACAACTCAAACACGTGTTCCCACTAAAAATAACGTTTAAAATAAAAATGCCTTTCCAAAAATATTACACTTATTAACTCTGACAAATTCTTTTGTTTACATTTATAATACTACTCTCTGTAGTCTTTCATTTTACCAATTGCCAGTTGTAACACGCTTCAAATTTCTGTTAACTAAGATTATAACATTTTTAATGCAACCTTTTCTATGATTTAAGGTTAATTTTTACTACTAATAGTGCACGAAACACGAGTTTTCCATGTTCAAAGCGTCATAAAACCCTATAATAAATTTCAAAGATTAGCTTTTTCAATCTTATATTTAAAAACAAAAAACATTAAATTGATATGTAGCAATAAACGTGGCATCAGTTGAAGGAAAGTATTATTTTTCACATTTTATTTCAATTATCTTCATATTTGATGTATAATTTTGTAGTATAAAGCCAAAATGCCTTCATTTTCGATATAATTCTAACACCAGACATGGATATATACAGATGAAATAACTATGCACATATAAGTGGAGTAGAATTTTGACAGTATATCTAATTATGCAGTTCTAACGCCCCAAAAATCTGAAAACAGTTGTTAATACTAATTTGCCCCATTTGGGAATACTTATACTTAAAAGAAAAAAGTGTAATTTTATAGTTTCGAATGAAGGGAAAAAAATCTCTTTCAAACAGTTACCTCTCTTCAGGGTATCGTAAATGAATCCTCTTTGGTCGTGGTAACTGCGGTCAATTATGTGTTAATGTCTTGTGAAAAGACATAAAAACATTCCTCCAAGAAAGATGTCACTATAATGATTATAGTTTTACCACTGAAAGACTTCAATTCCCGAGACAAAAAAGAGGGGCCAATTTTTATAAATTTCTTCACTTGCAGTGAAGAAATTTATAAATAAATGCGACAAAATGCGATAAATGCAATAAATGCGACAGTATCTAATTAGATAGGAGTGAACTAGCACCAACTCTACAAAGTTTGATTTACTCCCTGGGATTTCACCCATTAAAAATAAAATATACCAAAATATTTCTCTAATTATTATCTTTTAATTTTAATTAATTTTATAATGCGATTGCACTAATTACACAGCCATATAATTGCAGCATAAGAATTTTTCCAAGAAAGGCAAGTTGAGAGGAACAGCTGCCCTGATGCAATAAATATATAAGGTAAGCCTACAAATCAATTATTGTGTGTGTTGATTTTTCTTTCTGTCTATTATACGATGCCCAACCAAATATTGTAACACTTCTTTCGCAATATCATTTAATCGGGAAATTATTCTTTTACTTTCCAGCTTTTCATTTAGATTTTAATTTTTTTATTGACAAAATAAAAAAAAACAAATTACCAAATTCACATTACATATAATTAATGGATAGATGAAGGTGGGGCCACTTTATACACTGGCGTGCAAAAGTTTGGACCAACTATAAAAAATGATTATAGACCTTTATCTTATTAAGAAGTGAAGATTGTTTAGCACTATGCTTTTATCAGTAGTGTTTCTGGACCTTGAAGATTGAAAAATAAGTTGTTGCGTGTTCGTATGTACCGTGTAACAAGATACACTGCTTGAAGCAGCTTGAAACTGAAAAAAAAAACATGCAAATGAAAGATCTAAGATGATAAAGTCATGCAAATTTCTAAGTAAGAATTGTTCCATTTAGCAATATATTGTAGTTGAACATTAGCTCGCCTTTTTACACTAAAATCACGGCTAACATTTCTGTTAAAACAAAGATGAAGTTTGTGACTTTGAAGAGGAAGATAACTCAACGAGAGATGGCCAGGCGTCTGGGAATTTCTAGAAACTGTGTTCAAATCATCCAAAAGACGTTTCCTTAAAGTGTTTTAAGTGTGAAGAAAATAGGAAGACCACAAAATGTTAGACAATAGAGATGAAAGAAAGATTGTGCGCACCCAGCCGCTTCAGCTGCTTCAAGGCAGAGAAAGTCGGCTAAATAGGCGTCGAACTGAGCAGGGCTCAGACCGGGCTCCCAGGTGAAAAGTTCCTGAAAGTAATCCCGAAAAGCCTTGCATATGCCCGCGTTTGTAGTCACGGTCCGCTTATCCGGCAATGTGACGCACGCGATATGTCGCCGAGAAACGCTCCGATTCTCCTATACGCGCAATTCAGCGGCCATATTCGTCGCCTCAGAGGACATTCTTTTTAACCTAGCCCTAACTACCAGAGCTTGATCCTTCTTGATAAGCAAGGAGGACAACTTTGCCTTAGCTAATGCTATTTCCCCACTATCACGGGATTTAACTGCCGGATTGACTTGTTCTAAAGCCGCTAATCTAGATTGAGTCGACGACTAAAATCAGCAGCAAACGTTCTAATTTTCGATTTTAATTTATCCCACCATGCGTTCCCTACAACCACCCCTGTCAATTCCCTTTGTATCATTAGTAGCAGCTGGTCCCGGAAATCCTGCTCATCAAATATTGAACAGTGTAATTTCCAGTAGCCAGCCAACCTAAACTTAAGCTTATCTAAGTTTACACGGACCCAGACAAGTCTATGATCCAAATAAACTATATAATGGAAACTTGGATACCCTAAGAACTCTCTTAACTAAGACTCGGTCGAGGTAGCTAGAAAGCACCCCATGAGCCGAGCGGCCACTATTTGTCCAAGTCTAAACTACCTCCCGAGGGTGCTCATTCCGGTACTTATCGACAAGATCAAACCTGCCGATAAAGTCCCGAAATGGTTTCACGTCCGAGTTGTTAGTACCCGAATTTGACCCTATACGATCTATATCGGGATCAAGTGCGGCATTCCAATACCCCGCTAAAACTACCCGACGAGATGTAGCCAAAAACGGCTCGATCTGCTGAAACAAAGCAGGCCGCTCAGCATGGACATTGGGTGCATAAATCCCAATGAGACGCAGAGCCTTATCCTTCATGGTAACATCCAGCACGCAAAGTCTGCCCGTCGGATCTGCGAAGACAAGAACACACAGCCTTCAAAGACTTGCTCACTAGCCAAGAGACACCTCTCGAGTGTCCATCAAAACATGCTAAACATAGGAAATATCTCTTAGACAGAATGCTCTCATAGTCGCGAAAAGAAAAACGGGTCTCTTGCACACAACATATATGCACCCCGAAACTCTGAAGGTCACGAGAGAGCCTCGCCCTGCGAGACTCCGAACTTAGGCCTCGGACATTTACACTAGCTAACCAGAGACACATCAAATCGATTAGGGTTGCTTTCCTGACTAGAATATGGACGGGGTAAGGATACCGACCGCCTCCCCCATCAACCCGTGTCCCATCTCAATTTTGATTGCACCGTCTTGGGAGAGACCGCCTATATCCCAGGGGAAACTGAGTTTTAGGGCTCTATAAAGGGAGGGGTGAACAAAAACTGGGACCCTCCCAGCACAAAATTGTTTTAGTTTCTTCAACTTGGGGTATTCCACAATGGGAATTGGCGGGGACATTTTAAAAGAGTCTAGCATCGCCCATGCCTACCGAGCCCCCGTCCCAATTCTCATGACCGTCAATATACGTTAGGCCTCTGGAAACTTTTTAGGATCCTCGACATCTCTGTCAGAATAATGCTTGACAGAGAGGAGGAACCTTAAGTCTTTGAATCTATTGCCGTAGTCCCAGGCTCTTGGACGGGGGAAATACGGCCAATGCCTTTACCTGAGTTGTTCTGCTTTTTCTTTTTTTCGTTTATGTCCTTGGTTGGACTCCTTTGTATTTTGATAGAAGGAGGGGGCATTTCATATGATTTAAAGGAGGAAGTACTGGGAGTGTGGCAAGGTGTAAACTTTTGTTTGAAAGGGCTGGGTCTCTACTGAGAGGCGTTGAGGGTTTGGAAGAATGTGTCTGGGCCGAAGATGTGGAGGGAGTGGTCTTTTTGGTAGGAGAGGTCTTATGTAGAGGGGTTGATGGAGGGGAAGTTTGTGATGGGACAGAGGAAGATTGTGATGGGACAGAGGAAGCCTTTTTGGCAGAGGACGGGAATTTTATTGTGAATGTGAGGCAGAGGATGTTGATTGAGAGGTCTTTTTGGTAGGAGAGGTCTTTTGTTGCTTTTCAAATTTCTCTTTCCACTGTTTAATCTTTTCTGTCTTCTAAGCCGGATTGTATTTTTTTAGGTCTCTTAATGTATGTAGGTTTAGAGGCCGGGGCGTCGACCTTAATGTTGACAGAAGGAGTGGGACTGACAGTGTGCTGGGAGCTTCAAGGGACTGGGGACCCGCTGTCTGGCGCTTCCCTCTGGCACTACCAGAAACCTGCCATTCCACCTCTTCCTTCTCCACAACTGCACTTGCAGGGGTGGAAGGCTCTTCAGGGAATGGGGGCTTAGGTGTAGGCCCAAACGGGGGTTTAACCACTCCGGTCCCGAAAGCTGGTATGCTCATTACAGGCGAGTCGGATTTCAAAGACGCGGTCAGAGGGGGAGCTTGGTCAACTGGGGCCAGACTTCCAGAGGCCTTCTTCTGTGGGTAGGAAAAGGAGAGGTGACTAGTCTCTCCACACTTCAAACAGACCGGTTTGTAACCAGTCACAATGACCGGCAGTTCAGGCCCCCTACTTCTTGAAATTTGAGGATGGAGAGGAAGGCTTTGCAGTCCAACATTATGTTGAAGCTCCACCCCGGTCAGGATATCACAGGAAGCACCCAGTATTTCGCCATACTGTGACAAGAAAGCCGCCAAGTATTTCCCGATGACTTGAGGAGGGATCTCGTATATCGCTACTGGTCATTCTCCTGCCTTAGTACTCGTTCCGCAGTATGAGATCTTTAATAGTGAATTCTTTACTCGTCATTTTCACGCAATCTTCAGGAGTGGGTAGCAATACGTCCCACATGAAGAAGCCCGAATCCTTCAAAATTGTAAGTGGCTTAAACCCCAGGGACTCCAGTGGTTTTACCTGTGACAGTGAGAGTTTGGGAAATACACACACACGTATATTTTTTTAGTGAAATTGGAGAAGGTTTGAATAGCGAAATTAGATCAGATCATTTTGTTTACTGATAAGGAAATTTGATCTAAGGCAGAAGTTGTATCCATTGAATCTGGGTCATCAGTATACAATAGAAATGGTCGAAATAATTTTCATTGATTAAAAATTGAAATAGAGCTGAGTAAGCTAGTAAGGAACTTTGGAATTCAAATGATTTTGGTTGAAGCAGTCAGAACCCCGTGATAATCGCTTACGAAGTAGTAGGGCCAAGGGTCAGTTGTAACCAGCCTGGTTTAACTATATAAACACGTAGTTATGCTGAAAAACACAGGCGGAAGAGAGAGACGGAAGAGACAAACGGAAGAGAATTAGCCCGGGCAAGAGTTCGGCTAGAGACAGTGGAGAGTCGAGTTGGAGACACAAGATGGAGAGAACGTGACGTCAGAGATTGGAACGAAGCGTCCGCTAACATGGACTATTGATATAAGTACCGCTGCTTCTGCTACCACTAATATTACTATTACTGTTAATACTGCTAAGGAGGAACGCCACTATAAACTTTAAGCCACACACAGAAATCTTATTCCCTTATCGCAAGAGTCGTATATCGTTCTGAGACGATTTAACAACAAGTTAATCATAACACACACACTCTCTCTCTCTCTCTCTCTCTCTCTCTCTCTCTCCCTGTGTCCAGAATCCAGTGTATACGTTTTTTACGTCAATTGCTTTTCTTTTCTGTAACCCGTTTCTTTTCTATACTATTGTTTTCTGCTATATAAAAGTCATTAACAATTCAATCATTGAAAATTTGTTGTCCGGCTTTCTGCGGATATTATTTTTTTCTGCATTTTAAATTTCTTAGCACAGATTCTCCAGTCGTGTCTACATCTTCACTCGACCGTGAATGGATGAACATCACTTCTGTTTTCTGGATCAAACCAAACAATGTGGGCACGAAGCAGGATTAAACCAGTGGACCGGTCGAATAATCTACGGATGCTCAGGGGACCTACGGCCACTCCCTTAAGTTCGGTTAGGACCGAGTAGGCACCTCAACCCTGAGAGTAAGACGTCGGAGGTTGAGGGGCTGGGACGAAAGTGTTAGACTGGTGTCGTGTTGACCAGGATAGACCCGTGGGAATTACCACGGCCGTCTGAAAGAGGAGAGAAGTTTGCATTTGTTTTGTCCAGTCGGGAACAAGTAAGACCAAAAAGGACTCTAGTCTTCGGACTATATTGGTCTAAAAGGGACATAAGGAGGAAAAGACAAGGAAGCAAAAGGAGGAAAAAAAAGAAACAAAACACGGAGTGGCGGACCTCAGGTAAGTCATTTTTTGGTTTCCTTTTTTTTTCGCTCATTGCACTTAGATCTGCCAGTAACATTGTTGATCTTGTTTTGACTTTGTCGACTTTGTACGCAGTTGAAGCGCCACCACCGTATTAAGTATTTTTTCTTTCGTTCTGTCGTCGGTCTCTTTTCTCGTAGGAAAGTGGTAGTTGACAAGACGCTAGGATGAGCGTAGCAGGATCAGACGCCACAGATGACCTTAGGGACGTGGGAGTCCCCGAAATATCGATTGGTTTCAGGAGGCTGATAGGTAGCATGAAGCTACCTACTTATAAAGGAATCCCTGCGGACCTGCACGAATGGATTCTGTCCATTCAGAAAAAGCAGGTGATTTATGGCCTCTCGGACCAAGAAATGGTGCTCCTAGCTTACAACGCCGCAGCGGAGCAGGTGTCTTTCATAGAGGGGTGGTACAATGAAAACATGCCCATGACGTGGACCGAACTTAAATCCGCTCTGGTGCGGCAATACGCAAGTGAGCGTACGGCCATTGAGGCAGTCAGGAAATTATTCCGGCTACAGCAACGAGGAGAGACTAATTTGAAATTGGGGGAAAAGAATTGCGGGGCTAGCGGCGTTAGCTTATCCGGAGTTGGCGACTCGGGACGGGACAGTGGTCCTATTCAGGCCTTGTTGGCCGATGTGTATGTGGACGCTCTGAGTGACAGGGACCTGAGGGGCGATGTTCTGAAGTTGGGACCGGTCAGCCTGGCCGCAGCCATAGAGGCGGCTCGGACCAGCGAACGACTCTGGGATAGAATAAGAGGGGGTGTATGTAGGAACCCTGGGGTGGGGGGCAAAGTAGTGATGAAAAAGAAGGACCGAGAGCAGATCCAGATACGGGACCCGAAAGAAGAGGTGGAAGAGGACTGGAAGGCTGAAGCAGTTCCTAATAGGAGAGCCTGGGATCTGCGTTATGGGTTTCACACGCCCACACCGGACCGATATGGGCTGGTGTGCTGCATCGGGCTCGCGACTGTCCGACAAACTATGGAGGCGACCCAAGGTCTTTGGGGCCGAACTGTACGACTTGTGGCGAGTTCGGGCACAAGGCTCGGTGTGCGAGACCGTAACCTGGGGATAAAGCGAGTTAATACGCCTCGCAGGAGAAAGAAGGACCACACCGAACGGAACACCCCTAACTCGAATAGAGGGGAGAAATGGGTTGCTAGTCCGAGAAAAGAGAGTCATCCAAGCTCTACCCCACCCAGGAGGGCCCCTAGACAGAAATGGGAGTCACTAGAAAAAGTTGAACTCCTGTCACCGACTCCCACGTCTCGGTTATCGAGAAAGCGAGAGGAAGGGAGAGAACATACGGGAAGGAGAAAGGCACATGTATACCATTTGCTGAAGGAAGGGCCAGACTTCACCTGTAATGTGTTGCTGGGAGACATGAAGGTGAAGGCCCTTGTCGATACTGGATCTTCAGTGTCATTGGTTAGCTCCATGGTTTTTAGACAGTTGGGACTGAAGACGAAGCTTAGTCTCGTCGATCTACTAAGTCAGGCTGATAGTAGCAGAGTGAGGATAGAGGGTATGGCGTGGCTACCTTTCCAGTTGGCAAGAACTTACAGTTTATGTGGCACCTGACTTGTGTGGTGAGCTAATTTTGGGGAGTGACTGGCTTAGGCAGAATAAGGCAAAGATCTAACATTGGACGGGGTAGGGATACTGTTGGGAGAGGATAATTATGAACAATTGCCAGTGGTGGCCCAGACAGATATAAAGCTTCCCCCTAGCACTACTGTATCTGGGAAAGGCAAGATTATAACAGAAGGAGTGCTGAACAGTGACCTGTACCAAGTGGTCCCTACTGATAGGTATGATAATAGTGAAGGGGAAATAACCGTGTGTGGTTCGTTGGTGAAGAGGTCAGGGACCGTTCCCTTACTGTTAACCAATACTGCCAATAAAACTATTAAAATAAAGAAGGGAGAGGAGCTGGCACAGGCGTGCCCAGTGAGAGAAGTCGAACAGGTGAGAGTATGGAATGAGAATAGGCCTGGGAATAGGACAAGTAGCAATGAAATAGAGACCGATTCTGTCAGGTTGGAGCCGGGTGTGGATGATAAAGCATTCCAAATTAATGTGATCAATTCACAGGCGTTGAAAGAGAGACTTGGTTGGGAAGATCAGGAAACGAGTGAAACGGAGATTGTTTTCCGACCCCGACTAGAGAGATATTATTAGGCAAAACCAAAGGGATAGAGAGATAGCAACTATCAGGTCCAGGGTAGAGGCAGGGCGTACCTCCAAATATATGGTGCACGATGGAGTGTTGTATTACCTTTCAGGAAGAGATGAGGAAGTAAGTTTAAAAATGGTGATACCTGGGAAGTTGAGAGCGGAAATTCTAGACCAGTGTCATAGGAGGTTAGGACACCTGGGAATTGATAAGACGTATGGATTAATAATGTGAAATTACTACTGGTCTAAGTTGTTTAATGATGTTGTGAACCATGTAAAAAAATGTGTAACATGCCAAGTACAGTGTTGAAGGAGTAGGGTTGCCCCAGTATTAGAAACGGATGTTCCGAATTATCCATTTCAGAAAGTAAGCATGGATATTTCCGGGACCTATGGAGAAACACATAGAGGTTGTTACGTGTTGGAAATTGTAACAAAGGAAAAAAATGACTTACCAAAACACAGAGCTAAATCACAAGCAAATATTTAATTTACTAAAACACAACATAAAATATATACAAGATATGCAATTGTGGCTTACAAAAACAGAAAGCACAGAATTTACGGGCGAAGTGTTACGAGGGAGAAGGAAAGGGAGTCAAGTCTTATTACCACTTTAGGGCTAGTGAAGTAATCTCAGTGCTAATAACTGGAAATCCATAAATGTTAGTATATATTGAATAATTGGTAGTTTGGTCAATGAAAATAGTCAAAACTCTATTTACCAGATTTGTTCCATGTGGTTCTCTTTTGGGGTTTTTGTTGGTCGGCAACATTTCAGAGAAATTTTTTCAGCTGGATATAATAATCCTCGAATCAAAAAGCCGGAGTTGATACCGACAGAAATTTCTTTTCAACAACTTGTTATTTAATTTTTTATCCGAATTATTGGTTTGTTCTAAATGATGAGATATAAAGGTTTAATTCAATTGTAACCGATTAGCTGGTGTTGTTGAATCTTTCTTTTCTGAAATTTGCTTCTTTGCTTTCGTCCTAGTAATAACACAATCAGGGTATACGTCACTGTTTTCTTCGACCACAAATTCATCGTTTATTTCTATTTTATCACAAATGACTGGTACTACCCTGTTACTTGCTAAGTCGTTGCCTAACATTAAGGAGACCCCTTTTACTGGGAGGGTTGGTCGTACAACGACAACGACGGGACCATTCACCAATTCCGATTTTATATAAATTTTGTGAAGGGGCACCTTAATGACACCCAATTCAACGCCTTGTAATAAAATAAAATCGCCAGTGAAGGTCGATTTCGAGAGTTGTAGTATGCCTTCTAATAGTAAGGTTTGAGACGCACCGGTGTCTCGCAAGATTTGGACAGGCCTAGCTTTCTCAGGGTCGTTGATGTAAACAAAACCCTGGGACAAAAATGGTCTATAATTTTCCATACATGAGTTTTTATTTCTTTCTCTAACACCTAGTTTTGAGAAGGAAGACTGAGGAAAGGAGTTACTCTTAATTTGTTGTATAACAAAGGCATGGGGTTGAAGGGAGTTATTTTCTTCCCGTTTTCTTTTTAGGATTCGGCAGTTGGATATGACGTGATTATTGATTCTGTCGGAAGAGAACCTTTAGGTGTATCTTTTATTATTTTGTGTATTCTCCAAGATACATTATGAGGGTGAGTTTCCAACAGTGATTGTGTATTTATATGAAAGCCTGACTGGTTTTCGGTTATATTAATTGTTATATCTCGTGCAAGATATAATAAACAAAGTAAACCCGAGTGTGGTTTTCAATAATAATTTTATAATCGGATGTAGGTATGTCAAAATACAGAGACAGAGTGAGGAGTAAGCTAACCGCAATCGTGTTAGTAAACGAAGACCTTTTTCCCGTTACTGTTTACTGTGGTCGTACTTTATCGGCCACCAGACCGTCCATTATCGTGAATAGGGAAGTTGGGTTATCTCATCACAACACCTCCCCCCGAAGCTGAAATTCTCCCTTTTGAAAATTTCTGCTTCTAATGTCGTCTTCTTTTTGGATCCGGACTAAAACGCTCCACTGGTTTTCTTTCTCGTGTGCTCCATCTTTTAGTCGTCACAATTAGATCCTTTTTTGGCGAAGATAATTTCCGCTTTTCAGCCCGTAAGGCTGGTCCATGCGATACAGGTTCAAATACACTATTGGGTAGTGTCATGTTAAAAGCATCGCATAACACTTCCATCGGAATTTCTTCTTCGCTTTTTTCACTTTCTTCACCATATCGTGGTCTAATCTGATTGATGTGTCTTTTACACGTAAATTTTTTACTTTTAATCGTGTAGACCACTTTACCAATCCTTTTCTGGATTATGCCATCCATCCAATAGCTTTTTCCACTTTTAAAATTAAAAAAAAAAAACTGTCTCCTGAAGTGTATTTTTTTTATGTTGACTTTTTCCTCTTTCTTAGCAACTTTTTTGTTTTGTAACAATCTATCGAAAATTGATCTAATTTTCCTTGCGAACATAATTTCCGCCGGTGACATTTTCGCATCGTTGTTCTCATTAGGAGTTACCCTATAGATTGCTAAGAACTTTTGAATAGTTCTTTCTTCCGTGTCCATACCTTTATTTTTACGTAAAGCACGTTTAAAAGTGTCAACAAATTTCTCGGCTTGACCGTTCGACCTGGGATGACACACTGGTGTAGTTATGTGTTCAATGTCTAAGGCAGTACAGAAATCCTTAAATTCCATACTTGTGAACGCCGTACCATTGTCGCTAACCAATGTTCTGGGAACCCCGAAACGACTGAAAATTTCATCCAATGCACTGATGGTGTTCCTAGATGTAGGATGCTTGCACTTGACTACTTCAGGCCATTTCGATAAAGAGTCCACCAATATCAAATAATAGTGCCCATTAATTGGTCCAGCATAGTCTATATGTAGACGTGCCCACGGCAAATCCGTTTTCGGCCAAGGATTCATTTTGACCGGAGGTGCCCTTGCAGCCAATTGACAACCTCTACATAGTCTTACAAAACCTTCAATATCCTTGTCCATTCCTGGCCAGTATACGTAACCAAGCATAAGTGATTTCATCCGAGACATTCCAGGATGACCGGTATGAAATTCTTTCAGCATATCTGTACGTAGATATTGAGGTATAACAATTCTATCTGCGTACATCAATGTGTTGTCGCAAATTGAAAAAGGTGAAATCTGAGTTCCCTTTTTCTGTCTTTTGTTCCATCTCGTCTGGTTCCTTAATTTCACCATATAGTGATCTTTTTCCGCTTCTTTTTTTATTTGATCCAACGTTACCGGCAATTCCCTGATTGTATTCAACAAGAGACCTGATATTTCTTTTTCCTCAGTTAATGCTGCTATAACCGTCTCTTCTAACATTTCTTCATTTTTTGGAATCAGCCTTGACAATCCATCCGCATGCCCATGTTCTTTAGATTTGACGTATTCCATCCTAAAATGGTAATTAAGCAGGGTTACACCCCATCGCCGTAAGCGATTAGCTGTATGCGTAGGAATGCCTTTTTTACCTCCAAATATTGTAAGTAACGGTTTATGGTCCGTTTGAAGTAGAAATGATCTACCATGTAAAAAGCGATGGTATTTTTTAACCCCTAACACAATCGACAAAGCCTCTTTCTCGATCTGACTATAATTTTTTTCAGCCGGAAGAAGAGTCCTCGACGCGTGCGCGATCGGTTTAGTAGTGCCATCTTCATATTTGTGTAGCAGTGCAGCACTCATTCCGTACAAACTTGCGTCAGTTGCCAGAATGATCTCTTTCTCAGGATCATAATGTGCTAAGGCGAGATCTGAGAGTAGGCATTTTTTTATTTTCTGAAAAGCAGTCTCGTACTCTTTTGACCAAAACCATTTCTTGTCTTTTTTTAACAATTCGTTAAGGGGGGCTCTTAAATCATACATTTTAGGTATGTAGATTGCATAATATTGTGCCAACCCCAGAAACGATTGTAGTTTCAAACTGTGTCGGGTGCAGGCATGTTCTTAATTGCATCGGCTCTCTGTGGGTCCGGTTTCCTGCCTTCACTGTCTATCACCTGTCCGAGGTATGTAATTCTTTCCATGAAGAATTTACACTTCTTGTGGCTTAATTTAAAACCAAAATCTTCTAGTCTTTTGAATATCGCTCTGATGTGCGTTTTATGTTCTTGAACATTCTTACTTTTGACTAGAATGTCAGCTAAATAGGCGGTACCAAACTCGAGGCCTGCC